GTCTGGGGGGGTGCATCCGAACATTCTTAAACAGACGGAAGACTCACGAATGCTGACTAGTGAGTTGTCAGCTCCACTGCTCGCGCAATCGCCCCGCCCATCCGCGACTTGGTCTGCAAAGCCCAGGCCGCGGCGACTGCGATGACTGCTTGGCGCTGGCCGGCGCGTCGCTGCGGCCGCGCTGGCGAACGCAGGCTCGCGCGCAGAGCGGCCGGCCAGTCTGGCGCGACCGATGCGTCCGCGGTGGCGCGGGCAGCTGGGGGCATCCCAGCGCGTCTCCCAGCGCCATGATGCCGCACCTGCGCGAGTGGGGAACTCGCGCAGGTGCGGTATCATGGCGACGCCGACAACGACGGGCACCATGATGATAATAGCTTTGCTGGCGCCGATGATGACGATGGCGGCGGAAGACCAGCGACGGCGCCGATGGTGATCGCTCCGACGATGATGATGGTGTCCACGTGTCGGTGATGAGAGCTTCGGCGGGATTTCGACATGCGCGCGCGGCCGACGGGCACTAGTCGCCCGCATGGTATTATTTGATGGGGATCGTGCGCCCCCCCCCCCGCACGTGCGCACGGGCGTCCGAAAGATTTCGACGTGCGCGCGCGAGGGGCCCGTTTCTGTCATTACACGAACATAACAGAAAACCGGTGCTCTTCTGGAGAATTCGCAAGAACGCGCGCGCAGATTTTTTCTGTTCGGGAATGTTTCTTTTGGTTTGTTTCAAATGGTCATGGTACGACGCGATGTTTCAATTTACTATTATTATTATTACTATTATTATTATAGATATTTACTCAATAATATCATATACATTATATGTATATATATATATATATAAGAACGGCACCTACGTTTTTTGTTTTAAAGACTGTCAGCATGCGCGATTGCCGACGCACGCACGTGCGCATTTCATGCCTTTTGGTAAAACGGATTCTTGCAAACTGATGGTTGTTGATGCACGAATGTGCGTGCATAATACTATTTTTTTTTTGGGGGGGGGGGTCGATGCTGGCTTGTCTGGGGTGGTATGAAGTCATTGAAGCTGAAAGATGCAATCTATATTGTCTCATCTAGACGGCGACGGGGCGGCGACGGCGATCGCGGAACTGCCAGACGGACACCCAGACTGACGACGGGCGGCGACGAGGCGGCGACTGGGAGCTGCCACGCCGAGACCCAAGCCCAGACGACGGGCGGCGACGAGGCGGCGACGGGGCGGCGGCGGCGAACGCGGAACCGCCAAACCGACATTCAGGCCCAAACGACGGGCGGCGACGAGGCGGCGACGGCGAGCACGGAACCGCCAGACCAACATTCAGGGCCGGTTCCCGAGAAAACGAATAAGAACCCCTAAATGCAAGCATTGTTTGGGCAATAAAATGCACATGGATTTTGTGGATTTCTGTATATCGGGGGCCCCGCGCAGAACTAACCATCTAGAATTCCTGTGCGGCCCTCTTGGCGCTGTCTCCATGTCTCTTGAGCCTTCTTGGGGCCATGTTGGAACATTGCTGGAGCGCCCGGCATGCCCAACTGGTCCATGGGCGATCCAAATTCTATTTGGGTGGGCGGGTGTGGTCCATCTTTCGTGTCAGATAACTTAAATCGGAATATGTTGCTCTCCATCTTTCCCTCTGCATCCCTCCCTACTTTCCTCTCTCGTTTTCTCTTTCTCTGTCTGGCCTGGACCGCGCTCTTGGCCCAATGGCGCCGCTGGCTCACAGCTGCGCAAGAGATCTCGTGCAATTTGCTTCGGCCCCCGCATCGGGCAAGTCTTGTTATGGCATCTTCAAGCTCCGAGCAGGCCTTCACTCCTATCCGCGCCTGCGTGGACCGCGGCTGTTTGTCGACCCGGTGTGGCTGTCACTGCGATCGGGCTGAGGGCCCCCCCCCGCACGAGGGGCGCTTTGCCCCTCGTCGCAGCACAAGCGCAGATTGCGCATGCTGCCTTATGCAGGCTGCGCGTGCTGTCTCACGTATGTCACAGAAGAACGGGTCGACTTCCGCGTTGGGTGGCGGTGGGGAAGGATTGTTATTATACGAGCTGGTGCGGCCCCCGCAACGGATTATCTCGACTGCGCGATCGACCGCGCGGTCGTGGTCCCGCCACCTCCCACCTGGTCTTCTCCTCCCTATCTAATTCCTCAACATGCCGTTCACTGCGATCCATGAAGGTCTCCTAGATCCTAGATGCCGACGACGCCTCGACGACTACTCGACAAGTCCCAGCACTGTCCCCCGCATGCCGCAAAATCACGGACGGAACGCCCCCCGGGGCGTCAAAACTCCCCAGGCGGCGCTCTTGCACTTACGGGTTCTTACTTCAGTGTCTTCAGTCAAAGATCTTCTGACCTGGGTCAATCCAGACCCAGGTCAGTAAGGCTTGCATGATCCTGCAAAATCCAGCAGGATCCTGCACCCAAGCTCGGGTCAATGCGACCTGGCCCTGCAAGATCCTGCAAAATCTGGCGCTCTGGCTGACCCACCTTTGCATCGACCGTATTGGAAATGTTGCCCGGGCTCTCGCCGCGTTGGCGCCCGTGCCCGCCGAGGGGCCCCCCCCGTGCGCCGGGTGGGCTTCCCGAGGAGTTGCCACGCGGGCGCCCGGGTGCCCGCTCGTGGACGCCTCGCGGGCGCGCCCCGTGCGCCGGGTGGGTGTCCCGAAGATTCGCCACGCTGGCGCCCGGGTGCCCGCTCGTGGGCGCCCCGTGCGCTGGCTGAGCGTCGCGAGCTTTCGCCACGTTGGTGCCCATGCCCGCTCGTGGGTGCCTCGTGTGCACAACATAGCTTGCACTACACAGCTTGCCCCTCATAGCTCACACCACGCAGCTCGCACCACGCCGCGCAGCTCCCTCCACGCAGCTGACACCGCACAGCTTGCACCACACAGCTCACACTGTATAACTTATACACTGTAGCTTGCACCACGAAGCTTCCACCGCATAGCTCACACCACATAGCTCACACAGTACATACTAGAATCCACAACATAGTCACACCGCAGAGCTGACATAGCATAGCTTACACCGCATATATTTCACCTCCACAGTACAATTACTCACTGTTTGGGCCCCGCGCTGGCTGACACAGATTTTTGCATGCTTTTCGAATATCTGCAAGGCTTTCCCATGTCAAGCTCAAGATGGCTCCGAGACAAGCCCCGGATGCCTGCAGGAAGGTCCACTCGGCTTCTGCGACTCCTTTAGACGCCGTCAGAGGCCTCCAAGACGGGCCAAAACGCCCCCAGAGCTCGTGACAGGGCGGCCCAAGACCGCCCCAAGAGGGCCCCCAAACGGCCACCAGGCCCTTCAACTCGGCCCAAACAGGCCCGAACGCGTTCCGAAATGGCCCCGCCCCAGGAGAGCCCCAAAACACCACTAGGATGGCCCCGCCCCGTGCCTGTCGTCTGGCCTCCCTATTGTATCGTCGTGGGCGCGCGTGCTACTTGTTTTCGTGCCCTCCGCGGCTGACCTACAGTCGCGGTGGGAGGCTGGGAAAGGCTCGGGACGTTGACGCTCGGGGACTGGGCCGTGGTCAGCGTGTCGCGCTGAAGTGCCGTAGGCCAGGGCTGGTGCGGCGCGACACCCTAAGCAAAAGTTCCCGACCGTAGTCGTCCTCCCCCTCCGCTTCCCGCTGTCCTGCCACTCGCCCTGTGAGTCGTCGGCCTTCACCAAGCTCACGTCTAGGCACGGCAAGGTTTCCATGGTGCCCGCGATCCGGTGCCCGTAGACCTGACGGGCGAGTCCGCCTGACCGAGAAAAGGCCAGAGACGGCGCGTTTGCAGGAGCTGGCTCCTCGTCTTCCTGCCTCCCCCTACACCTCCTCGGCCTCCATCTCCTCCATATCCTTTCTCCTCCCTCCTTCTTCTCCCTTCTCCTCCTTCGCCTCCTCCTTCTCCTTCTCCTTCTTTTCCTCCTTTTCGACCTCCTCCTCCTCCTCCTCCTCCTCCTCCTCCTCCTCCTCCTCCTCCTCCTCTCTTTCTCTCTTTCTTCCTCCTCTCCTCCATCTCCTCTTCCTCCTCGCCCTGTTCCCAAAACGTCCGCGCTTACTCCCGGCATTCCCAGGATTGGCACGGAAGAAAAAGGCACGATGCCCAACAATCGATGTGCCCTGAGATCCGACATTGAAACAGTTCAACATCGCAAAAAATCGCGACCGGAGACCCGGACCCCATCTTTCTGCGTCATTTTTTCGAGCTGGATCGACTCGTGAGGGTCCCGGGGCCCGAAAAATTTGGCGCAAACGCCCGCTGTGAACAAATTGCAACGCCAGGATCTCAGGGTGGTCCCAAACCGACAGTGTCCGCTGTGGAGGAGGAGGAGGAGGAGGAGGAGGAGGAGGAGGAGGAGGAGGAGGAGGAGGAGGGGGCCCGTAGCACTTTTTGGCTCAAGCCATTCGCTCGAGGCGCCACCTCTCCCATGCGGGGGGGGCTGGCAGAGCGGCCGCCGAAGGGCGGGCGGCGCGTCTGCCACGGAGAGGAGGCGCAGGGCCGGAGAGGGGGCGCAGTGCCACGGCGCGGCAGCCCCCTCGCGCCGCGAGGGGGCTGCCGCGATAGAAGGCGTCAGGTCTCCTTGGGATGGCTCGAGGGGGCCCCCTCGCGCCGCGAGGATGGTCGCCTGACTGGAGAGAAGGCCATGGCGCGGCAGCCCCCTCGCGCCTGGCTCCTGCAGCCGCGGCTTCTCGCCGACCCTCCCTGTCGAAGGCCTAGTGGCACCCTGTCTACGCTGAGGTCGGGAGTGTCCCACTGCAGGCGGATCTTGGCGGACAAGCCAAAAGAACATAGTCAAACACCATTCAAGAGAGTCAAACATCGTAGTAGAACACAAAATCGTCCCCAGACTATTTTGGGTTTATTTTGGGACATTCCTCCTGTAGAGGGACATGCCCGACTTAACTCCACGCCCAGCTCTCCCAAGAGCGGTGGCCTCTGCTTCCTCAGGACCTCCCCCCTCCCCCGCTTGGCAGGCAGCTCCCGTCGCCCCCCCTCCCCCCCCTGTGCGCGCCGACACAGTCAAAGCGGGCAGGATCTGCCGTCGGCCTTCGCCCCCGTTCTTTCCGCACCCGTCCCGATCGCACGGCACTGGCGGGACCCCTCTCTCTGTTAACCCTTCGCATGTTTTTTAGGTTCACCACCTCTTTTTCCTCTGCACACTCTTCCGCTATCCGCTTTGCTTATTCCCTCTATCCTCCACTGTCTGATTTCGCAGCTGCGGGTACCTCGTTCCTCAAATGGCCGCCCCTCTGGAGACTTTCACGGGGATGGAGCAGGATCAGCTGGCATCGAAACGGGACATGGGATCGGATCGGAAGGTGCGTGGGATCTGGCCCACGTTGGGCATGGGATCGGATCGGAGCGCGCGTCGAATCGGCCCCTAACCAAAAGACGCGACTGCCCATGTTGGGCATAAGTTGGCAGCACTCCGTCGCTATATTGTCAGCGATGCGCCACGTCTACATCGCAGAGCGGTGGACGGGCTGGGAGGGGGCATGCCGCTCCTTGACAAACACCTTGCCCCGACTTGTGGCCGCCGCGATCGCCGCGGCGACCTCCCAAACTGATCTGGAGGTTTGGCTTGCGGATGAATTTCACGCAACGAGGATCGGGCCGCATCGGCACGGAGTCGAAATCGGAGCGGATCGGCTGCGCCAGGATGCGCAGCAGCGCCACGCACTCATTGGACGATAACGGGCCGCCGAACTGTCAGAATCGAGTCGGATCGGGCCAGCCGCAACCGATGTGAGGCGGCTTCTGGAAACCCTAGGCCCCACCAAATGTGGCGTCTCTTGGGGGCGCATCCTTTACTCGCGCTAGCCTCCGCTGGCGGAGGTGGCCTCGTCTTGCTTCCGCCTCTCTCCGCCAAGGCAGAGATGCCAACTCCTTCGATCCGCGAAGGCGAGGCCCTGTCTGGAATGCCCCAGGCAGGGAGGGCGCATGCCCAGTTCTCGGACGTCTTTTTGTTGTTGTTGTTGCTGTTGCTGTTGCTGTTGCTGTTGTTGTTGTTGTTGTTGTTGTTGTTGTTGTTGTTGTTGTTGTTGTTGTGGTTGTGGTTGTTGTTGTTGTGGTTGTTTGTCGTTAGGCTGTTTTTTATGTTTTCTCGCCACATGGACCTCTGGAGGCCCAAATCCCAAGGACGGGTTTCTCGCCCCGCGGCGTCTCTCTGACAGGGCTTCTCGGCCCCCTTCTTACCCCTCTTTTTCCCTGGCCCCTGGTTCAGGCTCGGGGGGTAAGATGGGGCCCGCATGGCGGGCGCCATGGGCGGTGGAGCAACATATAGCCTCGCACCCCCCCGGCTGTCAGGGTTATGCACCTTGCTTTCGTGGGAGGCCGGTCCGATTCTCCTACGACTACTTCCTGCCTCCCCCCGCCTTTCTCCTCCTCCTCCTCCTCCTCCTTGTCCTCCTCCTCCTCCTCCTCCCTCCTCCTCGTCCTCCTCCTTCTCCTCCTTCTCCTCCTCCTCCTTCTCCTCCTCCTCCTCGTCCTCCTCCTCCTCGTTCTCCTCCTCCTCCTTGTCTTCCTCCTCCTTGTCCTCCTCCTCCTACTCCTATTCCTGCTCCTCCTTGTCCTCCACCCCCTCTCCTTCTCCTGCTCCATCTGCGCAAGACATTGCGCGCCAGTCAGTCACCGACGAGCAACTCTTGAGGTAAGGGAAGAACGAATTCGAGAGAAAGGGCCACAGCATCACGCACGTTCAATAACTCGCCCCTGCCAACAGGCCTGTGCTCCCCTTTGCTCAGACGGTTCCAAATCTTGAGCGCCCATCCCGCCTTCCTGGCCATACAAGGCAGAGACAAAGAGGCGAGACGGTCAGAACAAAAGGCAAGGCAGTCAGAGCAGCCGACAAGGATGACATCAGCGGCAAGAGATAACTGAACGAGTTGGTGCGGCCTCAACCCCTCGTCCTTGAAGCTCCTCCTCCTTATCCGCCTCCTCTTCCTCCCACTCCCCCCTCCTCGTGGCGCTCTTTGTCCCCCATCGTCCTCGTCCTCGTCCTCCTACAAGAGGACCGCTGCCCACCCCGACCTCGCGTGTGAGCTTCGTGAGCTCGAGCGTCGACTGGTCGGGCACCACCTGGGGGCCCAGAGCGCGCGCCCCTGAGATCCGGGCGCTGCATTCTTCTCCGGCCGCGCGCTTTCTCACCCAGCTATGGGCTCTGGGGTCAGCACAGATCGGTCGCGCTCGATGCCGCAGAGAGATGGGGCCCTAGAGCCGATCGTGGCTTCTCACGATGTTGTAACTTTTTCGCAACGTCGGATTTCAGGTGTGTGTGAGTGAGTGAGTGAGTGAGTGAGTGAGTGAGTGAGTGAGTGAGTGAGTGAGTGAGTGTTTGTGTGTCTGGGGCTCACAGTCGCCACTGGTAGCGGCTTGCCAGGACCTGTCAGACGCCTTCGGCTTTCCCTTGTGGACCTGTGGACCTGTGTTGAGCTTCCCCGTGCTTCCCCCGCGCCATCTCTTGCCGGTACACTGCGTGGCCCGCCTGGGGCGTGGCTGCCCATTTCGCCTTGCGAGCGCTCAGCGCTCCTCCCCCTTCCAGCAGAGCCGATAATGGCCAGCCGGGCCCTCGGCACCGGCAGCCCCCGCACGCCTGGCCACGGTCTCCACTGACCGTCGGCCGCGCCTGCCTGCTTTTCTCCGCCCCCCCTCCTGCGCCCGGCGGCCCCTCCTGCCGGCCCGCCGCTCTTCGCCGTATTGGCTGCACCTGTTCTGTGCCTTCCCGCCCCCCCGTGCACCCTCGGTGCTCCCCCCCCGCGCGCTCTCGGCCCTTGTCGAGTGCCGCGCTCGCATTTTCGCCCGCCTGTCTCGCCCTCACCACTTGGGGCCAGCCGTACGGGCCCACCGCGGCGAGCTGCGTCGCTCGCGCCTCGCCTCCCTGGTGTTGGCCGCTGCGTTTGCCCTTGGCGGGCTGGTCTTGCCGCTCGTCGTTGGCTCCCGCGCGCCTCTCCCCCGGTCGCCCCTGGCTGCCGCTCCCCGCCCGGGTGGTTGCCCTGCCCCGCCGCTGCATCCCCTGCCTCGGCAGGTCGGATCGTTGGCTTTCTGCAAGTTTAGTTCAGGCCCCGCCGGCGGCTCACACCCTGACGGTTTGGCCCTGCCCTCGTCTGGGCCGGCCGGCCTTGGCCGTTGCCCCGGTCGGGCCCCTGCACGTTGCCTGGTTTTCAAGCCAGCCCGCAGTCCTTGTGCCGGCCCTCCCGGCTGGCCAGTGCGCACTGCTCCGCCACCCCGTGGCCCCTTCTTGGCGCCTGGGCCGCCCCCTCTCCCGCGCCTCGCAGGTCTGTCGATCTCGGCGCCCTCGTTGCCCTGCCTGCTGGGCCCTTGCCAGCTCCCTTCTGGCCCCTCTCCTGAGGTGGTCTTCGTTGGCTGTCAGTGGCTTGGGATTAGCTTGATCTCAGTGCTCAGCCGCCTCGCTGATCGACTCGCTCACCCCTCCCCCTGGGCGCGTGCCCGGCTGCCTCCGGGCTGCCTGCCCCCTAGCTGCTGCCTCGGCGCCGCCGCTGGCTCCCCACCCTGGCGCCTGCCCCGCCGCCGCCTGGCTCAACTGTGAGCGGGTCCGGCTTCCTCTCCCCCACGCCCGCGCCGGGCTTCCTCTCTCCCTCTCACGTGCACTGCGGCTTAATTCGCGTTTTGTGTGCCTCACTATTGCCACATCGCCGGAGCAGCACCTCTGCCCAGCCGCCGACGCATGCACACACACACACATATATATATGTATATATATATATGTGCATATGTGTATATATATATATATACAAGACTGCATTGGCGCTTCGCGCCATGCACCTTGGTCCTTCAAGCCTTGCATGTGTTGGCACCCAGCACGATCCTCCGTGGCCTTTGCATTTTGCCCGTTTCGCGCCCAGTTCCTGGGCCCGTTCCATATTTGCTCGCGCCCTCGCTTGGCAGGTCCGCGCGCCACTCGGACTTCTCTTGGGGTGCGCAGCCGATTTTCCTGGAATTTGGTTGCGAACCCCGGATTTCAAGCATTTTGGGGTTTTGCGTGGGATGCCGCTGTCTGGCAAACATCGGAGCAGCGCAGCGAAGCCGTCCCGGAGGTGACGGTCGATTGAGGCGATTCAAAGGTTTTGAAGCCTCTTGGGGAGCCGTTTCGGCTGCCTCTTGGAGAGCCATTTGGGGGCCTCTCGGTTTTTTTGGGGGACCTCTTGGGGGTCCTTGGGGCCGTGTTGGGGCCGTCTTGGGGGCTCTTGGAGAGCCATTTGGGGGCCTCTCGGGTTTTTTTGGGGACCTCTTGGGGGTCCTTGGGGCCTTTTGGAAGCCTCTTGGGGCCTCTTGGGGCCCTCCTGGGGCCTCCTGGGGCTCTCTCGGGGCGAAAAGTTTGATGTTTGAACGTTTGATCGCCCTCTGGGGTTCCTCTTGAGGCTTTCTCGGGGCCCTCTTGGGCCCTCTTGGGCGCCTCTTGGGCTGGTTTGGGGCGCTCCAGAGCCGTCTTGGGGCCGTGTTGGGGCCGTCTTGGGGGCTCTTGGAGAGCCATTTGGGGGCCTCTCGGGTTTTTTTGGGGACCTCTTGGGGGTCCTTGGGGCCTTTTGGAAGCCTCTTGGGGGGGCCCTCCTTCCAGCCAGGGGGGCCCTCTCCCTCTTGGGGCCTCTTGGGCTGGTTTGAAAGCCTCTTGAAAAGTTTGATGTTTGAACGTTTGATCGCCCTCTGGGGTTCCTCTTGAGGCTTTCTCGGGGCCCTCTTGGGCCCTCTTGGGCGCCTCTTGGGCTGGTTTGGGGCGCTCCAGAGCCGTCTTGGGGCCGTGTTGGGGCCGTCTTGGGGGCCTCCTGGGTCATCTTGGGGCGCTCTTGAGGGCCTCTGGATGTGTCTTGGAGCGTCGGAAAGCTGAAAAAATGAGAAGGCAGAAAACATCGAAAACACAAGGGAAAATTAACCATTTCGGCCTCCAGGGGCCGTCTTGGGAGGCTTCTTTGGGGCCTCTTGGGGCGTCTTGGGGGCTCCTGGGGCTGTCTTGGTGCCATTTTGGGAGGTCTTGGGGGCCTCTGGGGCAATCTTGGGGCCATCTTGGGTGTCTTGGAACGCTTTGTGCCTGTCTTGGAGCGCTCTTGGGGCACTCGGGACCGCTTCAATGGGCGTCCGGAGGGTCCCAAAGCCCCAGGATCCTGGGAGTCTGGTTTTGGGGGGGGGTGATGGGTTTTGCGGCCGCCCGGGCTTGTAAAAATATAGGAAGAGGAATAGATATCTATAATCATGACATATATATATATATATATATATATATATATATGTATGTATGTATGTATGTATGTATGTATGTATGTATGTATGTATGTATGTATGTATGTATGTATGTATGTATATATATATATAGATATATATACATATATATGTATGTACGTATGCATGTATGTATGTATGTATGTATGTATGTATATATGTATGTATGTATGTGTGTGTGTGTGTAAGTGTGTGTAAGTGTGTGTGTAAGTGTGTGTAAGTGTGTATGTGTGTGTGCGTGTGTGTGTGTGTGTGTGTGTAAGTGTGTAAGTGTGTGTGTGTGTGTGTGTGTGTGTGTGTGCGCGTATGTGCGTGTGCGTGTGCGTGTGCGTGCGTGTGTGTGTATGTGTGTGTGTGAGTGTGTGTGCGTTGCGGAAACAAAGAAGCCACCTAGGCCAAGCGCGCGCGTCCGGTGGATGGCGCTCTGTGGCCAGCCCGTCCGGGCATGCCGCCTCGCTCCGCCGCGTCGGACGGTGCACGGCGGCGGTGCGGGCGGTGCGCCGCTCGCCCCCTGGGGCGGTGGCGCGGCGTGCCCCCCTCGGCAGCGCGGGCCCGAAATAGATCTCGGCACCCCGGGGGGGCTGCCAACTGCGCAACTGTCGCCCCTTCTCGTGGGCTCCCGGGAGGTGCAGGAAGGTTCGCGGGGCAAAGGACCCAACCATATGCAGCTGTGAGTGCCGTCTCGGGTGGAGCTCCATGTGGGGCACCGAAACCTGCGATGGGTGTGCCCTATTGGCGGCAAGAGGCGCCATGCGGACCCCCCCATCGGCAGCGCTGACCTCGTGCAGGGGGGGGCGGGGGGCAGCCCCGCTTGTTTGAGGCTGCGCAGGGCTGCTCGCCGTAAGCGACGGCGACGGTGATGGTAATGGTGATGAGGATGGTGTCTGCGACGAGGATAGCAGTGGTGATGGCGGTGATGGTTCGCGGAAGCAGGGACGCCAGCACACGCCTGGCAGTCCCGCCGCTGTAGGATCACCCGTTATTGCTTGGACGCCTCGCAGCTACGGCGGGCGCACCCACGAAGCCGCCCCAGCATCTAGGGTGAGCGGCTTCGGGGCCCTGGGTCTGTGTTTCGATTTGGCAGGGAGGAGGAGGAGGAGGAGGAGGAGGAGGAGGAGGAGGAGGAGGAGGAGGAGGAGGAGGAGGAGGAGGAGGAGGAGGAGAACGTGCTCATACTGCTACATCAGCATAGCTGCCTCAGGTAGGGCGTGCGGCGAGTGCGGGTTCTTCCACCTCGTAAGCTTGACTTCTGGCCGCCGCTTCTCTCTCGCGCGGGATTACTGTAGCGCCGTTTCTGGCCCTGACAAGGGCCCAGGGCCCGAAACGCGCGGCCATCAGCGCAGATCGTTGAGATCGGTAGCGCACTGAGTACGAGTCAGGCGCTTTGGCCTTCGCTTCTTTTTGTTGCCAGAATCTACGGGGAGAGGCCAGGAGGAAGGGGAGGAGCAGGGGCAGAAGGAGGACCACGATGCGTACAGCAGGTGGGCAGGCCTTGCCGCCGAGCTCGCCGAGCAGTATGGGCTCGCACTCGTCGCCACGGATGAACAACTTGAAAAACCTTTAGTGGCTAACGGTGTGGAAAAAGCTGACTTGATCAAACTGACATGAACCGTTCTGGGCGGTTGGCATGCACAAGCCAGACAATATGCAAAATCGTTAGGAAATCTCTTGCAACATCGACGGCTCGAACGTATCCTTTCATCATTTGCTTCCATTTTGATCTCCCCCTGTCATTGTTCTGCTCCCTCTCGTCCTCCGCCTCCTCGCTCTTTTTGACTCTACTTGTTCAAGGCACACCGGGACAACACTTGATATGCACTTAAAGAGATCCAATCTCGCGCCCAAGCAAACTGAGCGACGCGATCTAAACTGGCCCAACTAAAGGTAAGGCTGGGGCCTTATCTCTCCTTTCGCAACGCGCTGTCACGATTGCTAATTTAATGTCCGATTACTTCGACCAGCAAGGTCACCACAACCGTGAAACACATAGCTGGGAAAACTCTGCAGATCAAATCTTGTCGGCTCAATTCTCTCTGGCATCTGGCGTGCGTCTGCGCCATATCGGGGGTCACTCCTCTTTTTTACCGTGGACCTTCGGGCGAGTGGGTGGCCCCCCTCTTTCTGACTCTTCTAAGATTGAGTACCACATTCTCAAAAGCAAGATAAGATCCGCAGGGTCTCATTGTGGGGCCATGTATTGTCAAAGCAGCGTGGGCCCGAACTGTGGAACGATCAATCCCGTCGAAACAACTTCTCATACTGCCATCGTCCAACGACGTCAGGGACTCCCGGCCAAGGACCCTCGCAGATCGACCCGCCCGGCATACTAACGTGCATGCTATGGGTTCGAAAGCTCCTTTTATGACTGTCCTACGACGCTGCTAGAAGAAGAAGAAGAAGAAGAAGAAGAAGAAAAAACGCCATATACATAATTTTTTGGCGCTCCGCGCGGATTTCTTGGATCTGCGCTGGACCCGCCTCCCTAGCGCGCGGAGCGCGCCAGGGGCGGCGCCGGAGGCGCCGCCTGGGGGTCCCAGCGCAGATCCAAGAAATCCGCGGGAAGCGTCGACAATTCATGTTTACGGCGATTTTTCTTCTTCGAGTTGCTCTTTTCACGATGACGGATGCCGGGGGAGGATCGGTCCCAAGACCCCCTCCCAGGGTCCGTCCTGGCCAGCTTCCCGAACCGCGCCCAGCCAAGGCGACGACAGCCCCCGAGACGTGGCAGAGCCAGCCCACAACCCCGAAAGCGACGACGACACCCATGCCGCTGTCGACGCGCTGACCTAGGCGATCGACGTCTTACCCAGAGTCAGACAGGACAGCGCAGACGTTCACTTTCTCCAGATCAGCCCTCCGTGCCCGCCAGGATGCCCAAGATGATTTCTGAAGTGGCTCCAGAAGGGCCAAGGTAGCCGCCAGACGGCCCAAGACGCCGAACAAGGGCCTCAAGAGGACCTCCAAGAGGGCCTCGAGATGCAACAGTCTTTCATGTGGCATCGGTTTTTCATGATTTTCGCGTTCTCGCCTTATCGGGCGTCTGCAGACCCAAAACGGCGCGAGAGGGCCCCCCAGACTGGCCCAAGACGGCGCGAAGAGCCCCCAAGAAGGGCTCGGAGACGGCCAAAGGGTGCCCCAAGATGTGCCAAGAGGCCCCCTCATCATCACCATCACCTGTGGCGGCCTTGCTTAATCATTGCCTTTGTGGCTGCCTTGTGAAAATATGTTATTCAACAAATCAAGAGCATAGAAACTATTTTCCAGAAGCAGCGCCGTTGGTCCGTGGCAACTTCACAAGAAATTGACAGCAACAAAAAGAAACGGGTGTTCCAACACTGAGATGTGACAACAAAAACTAAGAACACCTGTAGCCGCCGCTAGTTTGTGGTGCAGATCCCTCACATGTGTAATCCTGTTGTATCAGTCTTTGCAACAACATTGATTCCTTTCGTATGGATTTTTTGCCAGAACGATTTTGTAAGGATGGGGGCCCAGAGTGGCCTCCACAGGTGAAATACGTTTACAGCTGCCAGTGCAAAAGACGTTCCTTTTGTGGCTGTCTTACGACAACAGATTTTCATTAGAGACAGCACCGTGGGGACGTGAAAGCCTCACTGGGAAACAAAGAAGTACGACCGGAAAGCTGTTTCACATGGAACAAGACGAACAAAGCTAAGACAACTTGTGGCAGTCGTCATGCTCATGGTGCAAATCCCCCAAACTTTAAGCCATTGTAACAGCCTCTACAAGAAGGTCATTTTTCGTGGGAATCCTTCAGAAGGGTTGTAGGTATGGAGGGTCCGCAGTGGCCTCGACAGCAGCTTCCTTTGCAACATGATTGTTGCTGGCGAGCCAGATTTTCATATTAAAGGATTGCCAGAAGCAGGAACGTGGGGCGGTGGATGATTCACCAAAAAACAAACCTATTCGGCAACAACTGATGTTTTCACATGGAACAAGATGAACAACGCGAGGACACCTTGTGGCAATCGTCATTTTTATGGTGCAAGCCCCCCATGTTAGAAATCATTGTATAGCAGTCTCTGAAACAAATGTTTTGCAAAAATTTCCCAACAACATTTTAAGCATGGGGATCCGCAACGGCCTCCACAATTTAAACAATTCCATCGCGGCATTTGCAACGTTATTCATCTTGTAGCAGTCACAGAAACAAATCATTGTACATCATCTCCAACAGCAACGCCGTGGGAGCATGCAAACTTCGGAGGAAGCAAGAAAGACCGAACACACCAAAGAAACGCTATCTTTGCAAAGTCGGCAGCAATAACAAGTTAGGGACACCTGTGGCTGTCGCCAACGACAATCACATGTTGTCCTAGTTTCTCAATACTTCATGTAGGCACAGAGCGATTTAGACTGTTCCTCATGTTTAAAACATGCTTTCCTGGTGTGCTTCCGCCGCCCCCCGCGGCGCTGCCCATGGACATCCTTTACAGTTGAAATCCATTTGAACATGGAATACACATTACGTTTGGATGTAAGGACTTTGACATTAACTTGATGGTGGGCCATCTCACATCGACTTTCTGGTGGGGGATCGGCAAAGGCGGCGCCGTGGGAACGTGTAGGCCTCGCAAGAAAACTAAAATATCAACACACCCAGAAACCTATGTTTTCCAATGGGAAATCGCCTGACCTATGTCTGTTGCTGACTTTCTTGGTGCAACAAGCCCGCCGACCCTGTCGGCGTGTGTGAAGCGATTTTCCGTTTGGGTCCTCGTCGCCGTCGCTGCCTCCCCTCTTTCCCTGGGCCCTCCTCCTCAAGCGATCCAGCCGGACGAGGGAAATCAGACAATGCTGTAACTTATGCGAAGGGAAGCCCCTTGCCTTTGATCCGTTACCTGGCGGGGGGGAATAGCGGAGGGGTTCCGGAGGGGGGCAGCGGGGAGAGACCCAAGAGGGGTGCCCGGGAGCTACCTGGAGGGGTCCCAAGGGGGGCCCCCGGGGTCGCGACTTCCCTCCCAGGGGGTCTCCCCTGTGGACACGGGGGGCGGGGGGGTGGTCCCCTCGTGGACAAGGGGAACTCAGGGCCCCTTCTCTCGCCTCCCTCCTGTGGACAAAGGGGGTCCTCCCCCTCCCGACCCCCCACCACTGGAAGCACCCGCCTCGCTCTTATCTGCTGTTGCGGGGTGCTGCGTACTTTCCCACATGTCTCCGAAAGGCCTCAAATCCGCTCCGAGGCGGCTCTAAGTGGCCGCGGAGCTCCCCAAGAAGTCCCCCAAGCGGCCCCCCGACGGAGCCCAATGAGTAGGAGAGAGCGCCCACGCAGCGGCCGAGCAAAGGGGGGGGGGGTCCACCCTTAGCGCGCCCTCCCCCCCCCTGGACCTCCCCTGGGCGAAGCCCCTCTGCCCCCCCTCCCTCTTTTTTTTCTCCGCCCTGCGGAAGCTCCCCCTCCCCCTTCCCCCCTTTCGCGCTCCGGAAGCTTCCCCCCGTTTGAAAGGGGGGACCTTAGCTACCCCCCTCCTCCCTTTGGCCCTGTCCCCCTGCCGGACCCCCCCCCTCCCCCCCTTTTCTTCCGCCGTGCGGAAGCTACCCCCCTCCTCCTTCGCGCTCTGGAAGCTCCCGCCCCTCCCCCCCCACCCTTTCCGGAAATGCAGCGGGCGTTTAGCTACCCCCCACCCCCTCCCTTTGGATCCCCCCTGCCGGAAGCCCCCCCCCCCCTCTCTTCCCTTTTGGCTACAGGAGGGGCGCTGAAAACCAAAAGTGTACCGAAAACCAACAGAGCGCCGAAAACCAAAGGGCCACCGAACCGAGAGGGCGCCGAAAACGTCAGGGGCGCCGAACACAAAAACAGCACCGCAAACTGAAAAGTGCGCTGAACACCGAAAGAACGCCGAAAACAAAAAGGACGCCGAAAACCAAAATGGCGCCGACAACCGGAAAAGGCGCCGAAAACCAAAGCGGCGCCGGAAACCAAAAGGGCGCCGACAACCAAAGGGGCGCCGGAAACCAAAGGTGCGCCGAAAACCAACAGAACGCCGAAAACCAAAGAGGGCGCTGAAAACTAATGGGGGGGGCGAGAAAACCAAAAGGGCGCCGAAAACCAAACGAGAGCCGAAAACAAAAGGGGAGCCGAAAACCAAAGGGCGCCGAAAACCAAAGGGACGCCGAACACCAAAGAGGCGCCGAAAACCAAAGCGTCGCCGAACACAAACAATCCGCCGAAAACCAAAATGACGCCACCAAAGGGGCGCCGAAAACCAAAGCGGCGCCGAAAACCAAGGGGAGAGCCGAAAACCAAAAGGGCGCCGAAAACTAAAGGGGCGCCGAAAACACGAGGGGGCGCGAAAACCAAAGAGGCGCAGAAAACCAAAAGGGCGCCGAAAACCAACAGGTCGCCGAAAACCAAGAAGGGGCGCCAACAAACCAAAAGGGCGCCGAAACCAATGGGGCGCCGATAATCAAAAGGACGCCGACACACAATAACCAAATAACCGAAAGAACGCCGAACACCACAAGGGCCCCGAAAAACCAAAAAGGGCGCCGAAGAACCAAAAAAGGAGCCGAAAACCAAAATGGCGCCGTCAACCGAAGGAGCGCCGAAATCAAAGGGGCGCCGAACATCAAAAGAACGCCGAAATATACGAGGGCGCCGAAAACCAAAAGAACGCCGAAAACCAAAAGGGTGCCGAAAAACAAAAAGAGCGCCAAAAACCAAAAGGGCACCAGAACCTCAAAGGGCGGCAAACACCAAAGCGGCGCCGAAAGCCAAAGGGGCGCCGAAAACAAGGAGGGCGTCGAAAACCAAAGGGGCACCGAAAACCAAAGGGGCGCCGAAAACCAATGATGCGGCGAAATCCAATGGGGCGCCGAAAACCAAAGGGGTTCCGAAAACCAGCGATGCGCCGAAAACCAAAGGGGCGCCGAAAACCGAAAGGGGCACCGATAACCACGAGGGCGCCGAAAACAAAAAGGGGCGCCGAAAATCAAAAGAGGCGCCAAACAAACCAAGATGACGCCGAAAACCAAAGGGGCCCCAAACACTTAAATGGTCGCCGAAAACCAGAAGGAGCACGGAGAACAAAGGAACGCCGAAAACCAACGAAGCGCCGAAATTCAAAGAAGCGCCCAAAACAGAAAGGGCGCCGAAAGCCGAGGGGGCGCCGAAAACCAGAACACCGAATGAGCGCCGAAAACCAAAGGGGCGCCGAGAAACAAAAAGGCGCTGTCAACCGAAAGGGCGCCGAAAACTAAAGGGGCGCTGAAAACCAAAGAGGCGCCGAAAACCACAGGGGCGCCGAAAACCGAAGGAGTCACCGAGAACCAAATGGTGCCGAAAACCAAGCAGGCGCCGAAAACCAAAAGGGCACCGAAAACCAAAGCGGCGCCGAAAACCAAACTGGCGGGCGCCGAAAACAAAAGTGCGCCGAAAACCAAAGAGCGCCCTGAAAACCAAAAGGAGCGCTGGAAACCAAAGGGGGCGCCGAAAGCCAAAGGAGCGACGAAAACACAAAAAGAACGCCGAAAACCAAAAGGGCGCCGGAAACCAAGGGAGCGCCGAAAACAAAACGGGCGGCGAACATCAAAAAGGCGCCGAAAACAAGAACGGTGTCAAAAACAAAAGGGGCGCCGAAAACCAAAGGGGCACCGAAAACCACAGGGGCGCCGAAAACCAAAAGGGCGCCGAAAGCCAAAGGGGCGCCGAAAGCCAAAGGGGCGTCGAAAACAAGGAGGGCGCCGCAAACCAAAGTGGCACCGAAAACCAAAGGGGCGCCGAAAACCAAAGGGGCGCCGAAAACCAAAGGAGCGTCAAATATCAAAGGGGCGCCGAAAACCGAAGGGGCGCCGAAGATCAAAGGGCCCGAAAACCAAAGGGGCACCGAAAACCAAAGGGGCGCCGAAAACAAACGATGCGCCGAAAACCAAAAAGGCGCCGAAAACCAAAAGGGGCGCCGAAGATCAAAGGGCCCCGAAAACCAAAGGGGCGCCGAAAACCAAAGGGGCGCCGAAAACAAAGTGGCACCGAAAACCAAAACGGCACCGAAAACCAAAGGGGCGCCGGGCGCCGAAAACCAAAGGAGCGTCAAATATCATAGGGGCGCCGAAAACCAAAGGGGCGCCGAAGATCAAAGGGCCCCGAAAACCAAAGGGGCACCGAAAACCAAACGGGCGCCGAAGACAAACGATGCGCCGAAAACCAAAAAGGCGCGGGAAACCAAAGAGGCGCCGAAAACCAAAGAGGCGCTGGAAAGCAAGATGGCGCCAAAAACTAAAGGAGCGCCGAAAACCAAAAAGGGCACCGAAAACCAACGGGGTGCCGAAAACTCAAGGAGCGCCAAGAACCACGGGGGCGCCGAAAACCAAAGGGGAGCCGAAAACAAAAGAGGCGCCGAAAACGAAAGAAATGTCGAAAACTAAAGGGGCGCCGAAAACCAAATGGCGCGCCGAAAACCAACGGAGCGCCGAAGACCACTTGGGCGCCAAAAGCCGAAGGAGTAAGGTAGCTTTGAAGCCCCTCCTTTTTCCAGCCAGGGCCCTCCAACTGGAAATGCCAACAAGAGGCGGGGAGGGGGGAGTAGTTCCGGAAGCCCCCCGGGAGCCCGGGCTTACCCCGGGTCCCAGAGCTACACAAACCAGACAAACGGGGGGGATAGCTTTGGCAAGGGGTGCCTGGGCTTGCCACGTGCCGCGGAAAGGGGGGGGGGGGCGATAGCTTCCAAGCCCCCCTCTACCCCTTTGAGCTGGCCCCCCCCCCAGCTACAAAATGCCGACCCAAGGCGGGGGGATAGCTTGGGAAGCCCCCCCCTCCCTCTTTCCCAAGGGAGGGGGGGGGTAGCTAGAAGCTGGGGCCCCCCTTTTCTTATTCCCGTCGCTGCGTGGGCACTCTTTCCCCAATAGGCTCCCAAGAGAGCCTTGAGAAGGGCTCCAGAGCGTCAGCGTCGTCGTCGTCGCCGACGCCTTCGTTGTCCCCCTTCAGGGTCGGCGGCAATGGCCGTACGGCCTTCCCAATACAAACAGCGTCAGTCACAGGTGTTACGCAGTTTTTGTTCTCCATATTCTCGACGTAACAAAACGATTCATCCGTTGTTTTCTGCATTTTTACGGTGAACTTCTGCCGCCCCCACGGCGCTGCCGATGGACCTCTACAGTTTCCACGTAGAATCAGCGCGTACAGCGTTCATCTGTGCTCAAAAGCGGTGCATGTTTGTAGCGGAAAGTATCTGATTATAACCGCACGAGCGAAAGGCCCCCCCCCGCCCCACAAGATGGCCCTCAAGATCCCCAATATGCCCCCAAGAGGCCCCGAATGAGTCCCCAGGGGCGACCCCAGCGACCCCGGGAGCCTTGGAAAAGCTCCAGTCGGCCGCCCCGCACGCCTGCAAGAAGCAATCGATGAAGTCCCGCAGCACACGGCGAGGAGGAGGAGGGCAAGATCAGCCACAACTGCACGCAGGCAGCACGACAAGAAGCGTCCACCCGGCCTGCGGAGCGCCAGGTTTCTGAGCCACGTCCTGCCCTTCTCGGCTCGGCGTCCGGAGCTGGAGGCAGCAACAGGGGTTATGGACGCAGCGTCGATCGCCGATGAGGGCCGCCCAAGTGGGACCGGAGTGCCATCGTCGTGCTTTCACCACGGAGGCTGAAGAAGGAACAGGCGGGCTTTTCTGGCCACTGCGAGCCTGGGCCACGATCTTTTTTTGTTTGTTTGTATTTTGTTGTTGTTGTTGCTGCTGCTGTTGTTGTTGTTGTTGTTGTTGTTGTTGTTGTTGTTGTTGTTGTTGTTGTTGTTGTTGTTGTTGTTGTTGTTGTTGTTTCTCTCCCCCAGCGCGACAATCAGCCAAGGAAAGGTTGTGTGCCTGCTGTGATCCCAGAACTGTGCTCCCCGAAAGGTTGATTGGGGCCACGAATCGGTTTCCCGACCTGGCTCCACGAAGCGGCCCGAAAGCCAGAGACACTTCTGATCTTGAAGAGGTCCCATTTTCAGCGCCTGTGCATGGGGTCTGAGGATTGCGCCGCATCGCCAAGGCATCGGCGATGCACCTGCGTTTTCGGGATAATTAGGGGAGATCGGGCTCTGGGTCGCGCCGCATTGCCGACGCACCGGCGACGCGGCGCGATCCTCCGGCCCCATTGAAGGAACAAGCAACGCACAAGCATAAACACTCGGAGCTCCGCGCGAGGTCGTTGTATCTGCGCTGGGCTCCCCTCCCTGGCGCGCGGGTCGCGCCAAGGGTGGCGCTAAGGCATCCGCGCGGAGCGCCGACAGTTTACGATCGGGAACTTGTGCGTAGCGTGTCGCCGCGGCGGCCCCGGCGACACGCTGTGCCCTGCGAGCGGATAGTGTGTCGCTCCGCTCCACGGGGCCGGAGGCTCGGAAACAACTCCAGACGTGGACGCCTCGGGACCTGGAAATGGACAGCGTGTCGCGCCGCAGCATGGCTGGGCCAGACCCAGCGGAGCGCCACGCTATCCAAAAGTTTCCCGCCGTATGTTTTTTTGTTGTTCCGCGCAGTTTTGGGAGGGAGGCGAGGCGAAAGGAAAGGCGCCACAGGCCGAATGCTGATCCGCGCGTGCTCGGCGCGGGGACCTGGAGCGGAAAACGGAGCGACACGAATTGACCCATAGAGCGTATCAGGAACGGGGGGGAGGATGAGCAGAAGGAGGAAGCGTTCCCTGCCGTATGCTTATGCAGCGTTTTTTTCTTCTACTCTATCTGCTCCGACCCCACCTGGGTGGCCTAGAGGTGCCCTATATTCTGCGCGCCGCCCAGCCACGGCGCCTCTCGGAGCAGTCGAGCCCGAAGAGCCGGTAGTACGGCACCCTCTCCAACGCCTCGGGGGGCGCCCCGGCCCTGTGACCCCAGGCAAGAATGACTTTTTTTGGCGGCGCGCAAACGGGTAATTAGGGATAGGTCGGGCATGTCCCCCTATAGGCGGATTTGAAAAGAAAGAGGGAACATAGTCAAATAAAACTGAAACATATCCAAACATGAAAAACATTTATACAACAAAGGCGTGGCCTCCCCAGGGGTCGCGGAAACAGGCGACACCACTTTGCATCCAGGCACATTTTTCAACAACATTCCTGAGCTGCAAGCGCCGTGGCATCCACGGATGGTTCTCGACAAAATGACGGCCCGTGGCCGGAAAGTGCATTGAAACCTCCACGGAAATCGCACAACACCAAAACGTGTGTTATCGACAAAATGACGGCCCGTGGCTGGAAAGTGCATTCAAACCTCCACGGATGTCGCACAACACCAGAACTCGCGATGTGCGGGGGTGGCGGGTGGGAGCTTCAAGCCAAGGCGTCACCGCGATAATGCAATCACAGCAAGATGACGCAGCGATCGGAAACATTCGAAGCCACTCGATTGCAGGAAAAGGGGTCAGAGACAATTCATTGCTACACCAAAGGCGTGGCCCCCCAGGGGTCGCGGAGGCAGGCGACAGCATTTTGGATTCAGGCACATTTTTCAACGACATCCCTGAGCTGCAAGCGCCGTGGCATCCACGGATGGTTCTCGACAAAAAGACGGCCCGTGGCCAGAAAGTGCATCTCTCGATTTGTGAAGAGGTGAGCTTCGAGCGCTGTCGCGAAGCCGAGCCATGTTTCTCGTAAATACGAGCGCTCTCTTTTGCGCGCCAGAGGCCTCTCTGTTGGATCGCCTCGATGGTTCGCGCAGCGTTCAACGCGTCATGAGAGGAACCTCCATGGCGCAACTGGTGAGGGCATACAGGAGCTCGCCAACGCCTGCTGAAATGGCCGCTGCTTTGAACAACTTCTCATAGTAAGGCAAGGCGGGAATATTGACCAAGAAAGGCAGACAGTCGCGCCTGGCGCGATTCCTCAACCTCAGAAGGATCTCGGGCACAAGCCTGCGGAACGGGAGGTCGGTTCCCGCTTTGACGCGCCGCTGGGCATAGTCGGTCAGCTCGATCGCAGCGGAACGGTGGCTGGCCAGCGTGGCGGGCCGCAGGCTCGCAAGGTCGCCCGGTGCCGCCTCGCGCCAGCTCGCGGCCTGGTCACCGCGGGCAGCAGCCTCCGCGCGCCGACGGCGGGCCGCCGCGGCCAGGGGGCGAGGCGCGGTTGCTCGAGCCCCCCGTGAGCCGCGGCCAGCGCGGCCCCCCCCAGCAGCAGCAGCAGCAGCAGCCGTTTCCTCAGGTCGCCAGCCCGCGGTCGCCAGCTCGACGAGCGGCGCCCGCGCCCAGCGGTCCGGCCTGCGCCAGGGGTGGCGGCCGAGGAGACGGTCCCAGAGCGAGCTGGGCCTCCCGCAGGCGCTCGCCCGCGCCTCGGCGTCCACGGCGTTGCTTCGTCGGCCCCTCGGGCGCGGGTCGAGCGCCGTGGGCCATCCTGGCCGCCGGGGGAGCCGAAAGCGCTGCGGGCAGATCGGCGCCGAGACGCCTCGGGGCTCTGGGACTCCCGCCGCGCTCGCCAGCGCGTGGGCCCTGACCTGGAGCTCATCCCGCGTCGCTCTGCCGAAAGCGCCTCGAGGGGCGTCGGGCCCGGCGAGCGAGGCGAGCGGGCGGCGCCGGCCTGGCAGGTGTGCACCTGCCAGAGTAGTCCACCACGTCCAGCCACGCGTGGGGTGCTTGACCTTCCCCTGCAGCTCGACTCCGTGCCGTCCCCCGCCGCGGCAGCGCAGCGCCAGCCCCCCGTGGGGGGCTGCCAGCGATCGCCCCCGGCCGCTTGAAGGGCGCGCCGAAACAGCAGGGGTCGAAGCGCACCTTCGGCCAGGAGAGCCGCCGCACCTCGCGCTCCAGGGCGGACCGGCGCCGCCCCCTGCTGGCGGGCGGGCTCTCAAAGGAGACGAAGACGCCCAGTGACCGGCGCAGCCAGAGGACGCGAACAGTGAGGGCCACCAGAGTCTCTCGACCACGGCGGCACTCGAGTGGGGGCGAAAGCGGGAGCGCCGTGCAGGACCAGGAGCTGAGGAGGGAGGAGGAGGGAGGAGGGAGGAGGGAGGAGGGAGGAGGGAGGGGGGAGGAGGGAGGAGGGAGGGAGGAGGGAGGAGGGAGGAGGGAGGGAGGAGGGAGGAGGGAGGAGGGAGGAGGGAGGAGGGAGGAGGGAGGAGGAGGAGGAGGAGGAGGAGGAGGAGGGAGGGAGGAGGAGGAGGAGGAGGAGGAGGAGGAGGAGGAGGAGGAGGAGGAGGAGGAGGAGGAGGAGGAGGAGGAGGAGGAGGAGGAGGAGGAGGAGGAGGAGGAGGAGGACGAGGAGGAGGAGGAGGAGGAGGAGGAGGGAGGAGGAGGGAGGAGGAATGAGGGGGAGGCGGAGAGGAGGAGGGGCAGGGGGATAATGATGAGGAGGGGAGTGGGAGGGAAGATCGAAGGACTTGGTTTCCGCCTCCCGGGGCTCCAGATCTTGCCGCAGGCGGCGTTTGGTTCCCAAAACGTCGACCTGGGCACATCGCGATGATGATCGAGCGCGGCCGAGATTTCTCCAGTGCCCACATCAGTGCGGCGCGTGTGCCTAACCCGCATCTTGAACGAGGTGTGTATAGCAGGATTCGCGTTCGAACAGTCAGGAGCCTCCAAGAAATCACTTGACCATGGGAATGTTTTTTTGTTTTTAGGGACTGGCATCTGTGTGATATGCCTGGAAGCGAAGCCCCGCGGGAAAATCAAACTGCATCCCCAATGCAACACAAGGAGCGCCGGGACACATCAATAGCAATCACGTGCGCACGCGTGGGAGGAGGGCGAGGATGAAGAGGTTGTTTCCAGCTTCATTCTACATCTCATCATCGCTCTCGGTCTTCAGTCCAATCACCGTCTGTGACGAACCTGTTTCTGCTGGCCTCGTCCAACTTCTTCTGGTCGAGGATGACGCGGAACAGCACCGTGCCATCTGTCTGACCTTGCTCCAACTCGCTGCAAAGCCTGCCCTCCCGACGCCACAGTAGGAACGCAAGTGTACTGTCGAGAAACCCAATACACAACACCAACCTTCCAACACTGTCGGAATATCTATTATAGTTGTATATATGTCTGTCTGTCTGTCTGTCTGTCTGTCGGTCGGTCGGTCGGTCTGTCTGTCTGCATGCATGCGTGCATGCATGCATGCATGTATGTACGTACGTACGTACGTACGTACGTATGTATGTATGTATGTATGAATGCATGCATGTATGCATGTATGCATGTATGTATGTATGCATGCATGTATGCATGTACGTAAGTGTACATGTTTGTATGTATGTATATATGTATGTACGCATGTATAGATAACACATGTATATACATGTATATATGCATATATGTATATGTATGTGTATCTGTATTTATATATCTATAAATATCCGAGCTCGCTCCCCCTCAAGCGTTCCAGCCAGAGGGAAATCGAGCAACGTCATAATGAAGTCGAAGCCTTTTTCCCTTGGATCCCTCTCCCGCCGGGTCGGTGGGCGGGTGGGCGGGGGCAGGGGCCCTGGGGGGGTGGGTCCTGGGGGGGTGGAGTGGGGGTGGCTGGGAGGGGGTCCAGGGGGTGGTGACCCTGCCCCCCTGTGGGGAGCACCACTCCCTGGGAGAAGCCGTCGGCTCCAGAGCATCAGCGCCGTCGTCGTCGACGTCGTCGTCGTCGCCGTCGTCCTCGCCGTCGCCGTCGTCGTCGCCGTCGCCGTCGTCGTCGTCGTCGTCGCCGTTGCCGTCGCCGTCGTCCTCGCCGTCGTCCTCGCCGTCGCCGTCGTCGTCGTCGTCGCAGTCGTCCTCGCCGTCGTCCTCGCCGTCGCCGTCGTCGTCGCCGTCGTCGTCGTCGCCGTCGTCGTCGGACGTCGCCGTCGCCGTCGTCGTCGTCGTCGTCGTCGTCGTCGTTGTCGTCGCCGTCGTCTTCGCAGTCGCCGTCGTCGTCGTCGTCGTCGTCGTCGTCGTCGTCGTCGTCGTCCCCCTTCAGGGTCGGCGGCACCGGCAGCAAGGCCTTCGCAATATCCCCGAGCTTGGCAGGAACTGCAGACGACAGCCTCCTCAAAGGGTCGACGCCTCGACACACTCCACTGGAGGTTCCTCGTCGAATTTCCCAGGCGTCCGCCCACCGCCTGCAACGGTCTGCAACGGCCTGCACCTTTGGCTGTCGCTGACTGCCGCCGCTGTTTAGGCCGCTGTCTCGATGCGACCGCTTGGTGCGGTAGGAACGCCCCTGGAAATCGATGGTCGCGGCACAACTGACACATACAGTCGGCCCGTACCACAAGGATGCGCGACAAGGATGCAAGGGCCTTGGCAGGCCATTTCGAAGCTTTTCGAGCGGGGCGCGGCCGACGAAAGTGACCAAAGGTGGGTCGAGGAGGCAAGAATGCAAGGGTCCCCCTAGGAACATTGCCCATCCTAAGTATGCGGGTTGACTGTACGGTAGGAGCGCCCTTTGAAACCGATGGTCGCGGCACAATTGATATGTATGTATATATATATGTATATATATATATATATATATATATATATATCAGCGTCCACAGTGCTCTCTTACCTGCAGCTCCGTCGTGGACAGGCAGCAGAGAACATCCGAGACGCACGGCGCACCCCGAAGCCTTCGAGCTCCTGCAGATCTCCAAGACCCCCCCCGCCCCGATGATTGTCGGCTTTGCCACCACAGCAGGGGGGGCCGTGCCCCTCACGAGCCGACCCTCTGGAGGAGCCCCAGCCGTGCCGATGCGCTCTCTCTCTCTCTCTCTCTCTCTCTCTCTCCGTCGAGGGAGGCGCGTCGACCTGGGCCGCCCCCCCCCCAGGAGGGAGCTCCGCCGAGATTGGTTGGGCGGCGAGCGAGGGGGGGGAGTGGGAAAGGAGAAGGCCTTCTCAGAAGGCGGCGGGGCTTCTCTCAGAAAGCCTCTGGCCTTCTGAGAGGTTTTTTTTTGCGTCTGCGGGGGAGGCTCAGGAGACTTCCCAGAAGGCGGGGGAGCTTTCGAGCCTTCTGAGAAGGCCCGCGACTTCTCACTCCCCCCCCGGGACCCGCAGCCGAGTGGCTGGTCTGCTCTCGGGAGTCCCCAAGTTTCGAGGAGGGAGCCGACCACAGAATTGGCTTATCACAGAACTTGAATTTCGCGTCGAGTCTGCAGCCACATACGCACCGTGCAGCCTTTCCGTGGGCTCGACAAGAATATGATCAATTCTGGGACAAAATCAACTCTGCAGGTCGATCCCCTGCTCGAGCCTGCCTGAACCCATGGGCACCTCCAGAGAACCTCGAAGGCCCCACAGCGGCCCCCTGCCGCTTAACCTCGAACACCGCGGCCGCAGGACTGCACGCCGTGCCCGGACGGGGCGCCTGCCTCCGCGTCCCGCTCCTCCTCCTCCTCCTCCTCCTCCTCCTCCTCCTCCTCCGCCTCCAAGTTCGGGCCCTGATGTTCGTCCTGGGCCCAGTCCTACTCTTGAGTCCCGAACCCTACGTCTTACGATCGCACCCTTCTGCGTGGTCCTCTGGACTGCATCCTGGGCCCTCAGTCGCCATACAGCCTCCTCCTCGTTTAGGCTTGGTCGTTGTCCTCGTCATGATCCTAGTTCTCGACCTGGTCGTAATTCGAACTCTTCTCATCTTTCTCCCCCATGGGCTTCGAACGGCGCACTCGTCCGCCTTCCCATCCCCGAGCCCAGAGTCTGTCTGTCTGTTCGCATGCCTGCCTGCCTGCCTGCGCGCCTGACTCTTTTCGAACATGTATACCTGTCTGCCACTTGCCAATCAAGCTATTTGCTGCCTGCCTTTCTGCCCCTCTCCGTGAATCTCTGTCTCTGATCATGTCCTTGAGTACCATGTTTGCCTGACACTCTCTCTCTCTCTGGCGCTGACTCCGCCCACCTGTTTCCGTGTTTGCCGGTCTGCTTGCGGAGCCTTCAGCAGTAGAGAAGCGGCGACAATGGAACGACTTCGTTGCGCAAGTGGGTTCGTGACTGTCTGTCTCAGTGGCGACCATCGAAGCCTTGCCACAACCACCGCAGGCTGCTATCACTGTGCGGGAAGGGCAGGACAAGAAGGAGGATGCGGAAGAGGAGAGGAGGGGTGACGATGAGAAGGAGCAGGTGGGAGCGGGGAGGCGGAGGAGTCTGGAGCAAGAGTACAGGCGGCCCGCATCATAAGGATGCGCGATCAAGGTGCCAGAGCCGCGGTCGAGCGGGGCGCGGCCAGCGATAGCGGCCAAAGATGGACCGAGGAAGGAAGGATGCAAAAGGCACACCTGGGAAGGTTGCCCGGCCTTGCCGTGCGGGCTGGCTGTAGCCCGAGGGAGCGGCGGCAGGCGCCCCGCTCCCCTGCGCCCCCGCCAGCTGCGAGACACGACGAACTTGTCGTCCAGGTCTGGTCTGGGCCCCCGCCTGGCTGGGACCCACTCGGCCTGACGGCACAGCCGGGGGGGCCGCCTCTGCTCGAGGGGAAGCGTTGGGTGGGGACCGGCTCGGGGGAGGGGAAACTATATGTATGTATGTATGTATGTATGTATGTATGTATGTATGTATGTATGTATGTATGTATGTATGTATATATACACCTCAATCAGAGCTTGCCTCTGTTAGGGGTCCTAGCGAATTCATATGATTAGGTGAGGTTTGTCACCGATTTCCGCGGCCCGCCCGGGTGCCTGGGTGCCCTGATGCCCAGGTGCCCGGTTGCCCAGGTGCCCGGGTGCCTTCTAGTCCGATAGCCCTATAGCCCTACAGCCCTATAGCCTGATAGCCATATAGACCCATAGCCCAATAACCCTATAGCCCTACAGCCCAATAGCCCTATAGTCCTATAGCCTCAAAGCCTTATAGCCCTACAGCCCTATCGCCCCAGAGCCCTAGATCCCTATAGCCCTATAGCACAATAGCGCTATCGCCCCATAGCCCTTTTGCCCTATAGCCCAATAGTCGAATAGCCCTATATCCCAATAGCCCTATATCCCCATAGCCTTATAGCTTTATAGCCCCATATACCTATAGCTCTCTATGTCTGTATCCCTAAAACCCTATTGTTCCATATCCCTATATCCCTATATCCCAATATCCCTATTGGTCTATAGCCCTATAGCCCTATATATTCATTGCCATATGCCCCATATAGCCCCATAGCCCTATAGCCCCAGAGCCGTACAGCCCTATAGCCCTATGGCCCTATAGCCCTATGGCCCTATGGCCCCATAGCCTTATAGCCCTACGGCCCCATAGCCCAATAGTTCCATGGCCCTATAGCCCCATAGCCCCATAGCCCCATCGCCCTATAGCCCAATAGCCCTATAGCCGTATAGCCCTAAGAAGACTTTGATAGGGTTTTTCTCTGGTATCACACATATATATATAGACATCTGTATACATATATATACATATATATATATAGGCGACAGACGGGCGACAGGCTTCCGGCAGCAAGCCCGCGCGCTGCTGGGCGAGGTAGGCCATCGGGCCCCCTATCGGCGATGAGTGGGCGATTGGGGGTCGATGCGCCCGTCCCCCCCTGAGCCTATATCCCCCCTGCGCTGCCCCTGGCTGCTGCTCCTCTGCGGCGAAAGCCTTGCTGCCAAGATCCACGCGCAGAGAAGGAGACATCCTCTCTCCAGAGTCAGCCTGACATGGTGCCGTGCTGTGGCCACCAGTGGGCACACAGCATGTTTCTCATCTTGGTGCCCAGTTATGCCCTCTCACTCCCTCTTCCTCCTCCTCCTGCTTCTTCTTCTTCTCCTCCTCATCCTCCTCATCCATTTCTCCTCATACGTATCTGCTCCCTGTCGCATCTCGAAACCCGTCAGAGGGGCGGGCCCCGCGTTTCGCCTGAGACTTCGTTACCAGTTATGATCCTGAAGCTCAACGATTGGCAACAGTTTCGCGAATGGAGGGCAGGCCGCTGCCAGAATGTGGCTTGCGCCTTAGCGCCGCTCGCATTCGTCTTACAACAGCACAAGAGTGTCACGAATTGAGGGCGGACCGTTTTCCAACACGTGCCTCTCGCCTGGGCGCTGCGCACACTCGTTTGCAAAGATTGCACAGAGCTTCGCGGGTTGAGGGCGGTTCCTTTTGAACATGTGGCTCTCGCCTCAGCGCCGCGCGCACTCGTCTTAAACATCCACAAAAGCTTCACGCATTGAGGGCAAACGGTTTTGAGGACTTCGAGAAGTCTGACGATTTTGGCGGTACCGCCTTTTCGAACTGCCGACCGCCCTGGACAGCCCAAGAGGCCCCAAGATCGCTCAAAAGCAACCCAACAAGCTTCCAAAAGGGCCCCCAAATGGCCCAAGATGGCCCCACGACGGCCCAAGAGGCCTCCAAGACGGCCCCAAGCCCAGAAAGGAAACCCAAACGGACATTTCGAGCTCTCGGCCTCAAGAGGCACCCAGGAAACCCCCAACGGCCCCCGAGAGCTCCCCCCAAGAAACCCCAAGAGGCCCCCAAAAGGCCCCCCAAAGAGGCCTCCAAGACCCCCAAAAGGAAGGACCCTAGGAAACCCCAAGAGGTCACCAAAAAGCACCGAAGAGGTGCCCCAGAAGCTTCAAAACTGCGCTCCCGAGGCTCCCGAGAGCCCTCCGAAAAGACCCCAAGAAGCATCCATGAAGACTCTGACCCGCAACACAGGTACGTCTCGAAACTCAGCTGGAGCTCTCTTGAGCCATCTTGGCGCCCTCTGTGGCAGTCTATCGGCTCTCTTCGGTAGGGTGGAAGCCACATATCCGAACATCTCCAACAACACATCCCTGTCAGCCCTACCGTTCCTCCTGAGCACGAGCATATTACCACGCAACCATTGCGATGCGAAGCGGGCCGTCGGAATGAGCGAAGCGATTCATGCACTCCTCTCTGTCGCGCCCCGCGGCCAACAAAAAAGGCGGGCAAACTTTTCGCCTGAGACTTCCGTGCTAGTTCTGGTCCTGAAGCTTAATATTTACTTTCACATATGGAGGGCGGGTCGCTTACAACATGTGGTGTTTGCATTAACGCCGCGCGTACTCCTCTTCAAAATTGCCAGAGTTTCGCGAATTTTGGGCGGGCCGTTTTCAACGTGTGCCTCTCGCTTTGGCGATGCGCACACTCGTCTAAAACGTGCAAACAGTTTCACGCATTGAGGGCGGTTCCTTCTGAGCATGTGGTTCTGTTCTTAGCGCTCAGAGCTTCACGAATTGAGGTCGAGCGGTCTTGAACATGTGGCTCTCGCCTGAGCGGCGCGCGAATTAGTTCTAAGCATGTGCAAAAGTTTCGCGGGTTGAGGGCGGCTCCTTTTCACGATGTGGCTCTCATCCTAGCGCCGCGTACACTCGTCGTACATGTTTGCAAGAGTTTCACGGGTCCCCATGGTCAGAATACCAGAAACTGTATTTCCAGCGCAGCAATTACGTTGATTCGCGGTGTTGACGTCCCAGGAATGGTGCTCTGGCACGATTCGGGATCGTCAAGAGACAGAAAATCAAGTTGATGCGTGACATTGGAATCCCCGGAATGGTGTTTTGCACGCTTCAGGATCTTCAAACTTCTGTCTCCCAATGGGGCACTTCCCTCCTTCCGTCCGAGTCGTGCGCCACGCGGTGCGTGGACAGACAGAGCGCGTAAAATGCAATAGACAAAGCAGTTGGATAATCACAATGAAGGAATGTGATGGCGCAGCGTGCGCTTCCAGCCCGATGCAGACTGCGCTGCGTCTACCGTCGCATGAACACTGCCGACAATCCTACTGCTTGCTTCAACACGATGGGAGCGAACTCTCTGCTCGGCGCGCCACTGCGCCTCACTCCGGCAGCAGTCGCCGGCGTGACAGAATTCGGTGCGAACGTGGTGCGGCGAAGCAGGCTGTTCTCACTTGAGCGCAGCGCGTCGCCGAACAGAAGCATCTGCCGGTATAGTAGCAGGGTGCTGTCACCCGTGTGCTGCGCACGGCTCAGCACTTCTGCGTTTAGTACCCTGGACAACCATGACGGCTTGATGCCAATGATCTTTCTGATGCACCTGTTCTGGAAGCCGTCCAGACGACGTGTTTGGGCTTTGTTCAAGCAGGCTTCAGCGAGCCCGTACAGCAATTTCGATTCCACCACTGAAGAGAACATGCGTAATTTGCGTCTCCAAGTCAGAGAGGACTGGGACCATAATTTACAGAGCGACGACGATATCCTTTTTGCTTCGCCGATCTTGCGCCCTTTTTCAGGCCCTGCGTCTGCGTCGGCTGACAGATGCGCACCTAAATACTGAAACTGCTTGACTTGCTTGAGCGCCGTGCCATCGGGTGCACAAGCGTCTCCTTTCACCCCCGCAGCAAGGACCTGGAACTTGTCCAAGTGCACTTCGATGCCGTACCTGCGACCGCGTCAGAAATTGCTTTCGAGTACTCATTCAAGAAAACGTCGTCAGTTCCAATAATGCAAGTGTCGTCCGCGTAGACGCACTCGCACAAGTCCCCCTTCATGTGAGCATCCTTCGCTCCACCTTCCAAGAGGCCGACGACGTCGTGAAGTAGCATTGTTATTTCGAGAATAAACAGAAGTTGGCTGAGTGTGCACCATTGAGAGATGCCGGGCAGCTGTGGTCTCGGAGCAGAATCGATACCGCACTCGCTGACGACAAGCCTCTCAGTCATCATCACGCGTATCATTGCCCGAAGCTCTTCTGGCATCCCTAGCCTCCTGAGCGCGTCCAGCAAGCTGTCAATGTGGATGCTGTCGAACGCTTTCTCCAGTCCAGGGCAACGAGAGTAACAAGTAACAGAGCCAGTTTCGCCCACGCCAATGCTATGTTGCGCCTCGCTGCGTAAATTGTGTTCCGCACTGCACCCAGCCCAGAAGCCAAACTGGGTTCGCCACAACCTGTCGTCGATGCCGGCGTCTAGCAGCCTTGCCTTCAACATCGCAGTACTGATTTTCATTGCGACGCACTGCAAAGATAAAGGGCGATAGTTGTCGCAATTGGCGGGGTCCCCCTTCTTGTATAGCAGGCACACTTTCGAAGCGCACCATGAATGAAGGAGTTCCTTGTTGCTCCACGCATCGTTACAGATGCTTCAGAGCCGGTGCAATTGCCCCGGATCGTCGGCCAGCGCCTTGTACACCTCTGCTGGGATGTCGTCCGGCTTGCAAACTTTCCCAGATCGCATGCGTTGCAAAGCTTTCCGGAGCTCCGCATCTGAGAGCATGCCCAAATTGATATTCAAGCGAGGGTGAATAACGTCCTCCGTATTCGGTGTAAGGGTGACGTGTCGCACATGCCACTGGATCGTGTTAAGATGTTGTGCGAACGTCTCTGCGCGCTCGTCTGTCGCGACGGGGTCACCCACGCTGTTATTCAACGGGCCTTGAGGTCTCGCTCTCGGCTTCGTGATGCTTTTGATGCAACCCCAGTCACCAGAAGCAGTAATATCTTCCAACCATCTGGCACGATCTTGCTT